GACTGCCTTCGGTCCAGGACTTGAGGGTGGACGCACAGGTACTGGTCCAGGATTTAGTATAAAGTTGCTGTAGGTTTTCTTGCTCAGTCAGTTCTACATTACTAGCTGATCCAACTGTAATCTTGTGTTCTTACCATTCTGTAGGGGCCCCCTCTGAGTTTGTCGTTAACACATGCAAGGCTGGTTCAAGTGCCTTATCTGTTACTATTGACGGTCCCTCAAAGGTCAAAATGGACTGCACTGAGTGTCTAGAAGGTTACAAAGTCTCTTATACACCGATGGCGCCAGGAAACTACCTTATATGCATCAAATATGGTGGTCCACAGCATATTGTTGGCAGTCCCTTCAAAGCAAAGGTTACAGGTAGGATTGATTAAACTTCCTTCTTCAATGTAAAGGAATGTCCCCTGACTTTTTTGTTGGTAATCAATATTATGCCCCAAATGCTGTAAATTGAACCAGGAACAATTTCTAAATCATCAGACTTCCAGTGTATTTTTTTCAGGTATATAAGATTTGTGCAAGTGCAAGAGTTGTGGCCGTGGATGTAAACACGTCTGTCTTTTGCTGTAGGTATGCGTCTGTCTGGAGGCCACAGTCTACATGAAACTTCATCAGTCATTGTGGAGACGGTTACCAAAACCTCAAAGATGGCAGGAGCTTTCAGCTCTCTGTCCAGCTCCAAGTCAACCTCAGATGCCAGTAAGGTTGTATGTCATGGTGCCGGCCTCTCCAAAGCCTTCGTGGGTCAGAACACTTTTTCCGTTGACTGTAGTAAAGCAGGTAAAATAAAGCTGATAATGGTTTAGCACCAACAAAATACAGTTATACAGGATATTTATTTATTTATTTTTTTCCCTTTAAGGAACAAACATGCTAATGGTTGGCATCCATGGTCCTAGAACTCCATGTGAAGATGTGGCTGTTAAACACATGGGAAACAAGCTTTACAATGTAACCTACACAGTGAAGGAGAAAGGAAACTATGTTGTTATTGTCAAATGGGGGGATGAAACTGTACCAGGAAGTCCCTTCCATGTGAGTGTTCCCTAAACAGGCTTATACCTCTAGATTTCCTAATCAAGAAAAAAAAAACTACTGAATTGAACAACAGTTGCTAAATTTAGGAGAGGAAAAAAAAACTATATATATTAACTTTCTCGCTGAGGAAAGCTTTATGTCAGAGGCTGATCTTAGAAGGTGCTGCCTTTTATTTAATGTTAACCTGTTTGACGCAAATGCATTTTAATACAGTTTTGGATGCCACAATGTACCATTTATCATGAAAAGAGAGAAGAGTTGTAATTAATAAAAAGGAATAAAGGAACAGTTCAATTAAATGTCAATGAATGCCACTTTTGTTTAATCACCAAAAGAGGAAATTTATATTTTACAGAGGGAGATTTGTTGTTCTCAAGGGCACTTTTGTTGGTCAGGGGAAATCATAGCAATATGATTTTGTGTTCTGATGTTTTCAACAGTGTATAGATGTATCCAGTGCTTTTATATGCTTTATAGAATGTAATTTTGTTATCTTAACCAATTATTTAATATGCATTTGGAAAACGTAAATAATGAATAAAACTAAGTGTGTTGATTTTTTCTGTTCACAAAAAACTAAACAAAGCAGCAAATATTTTATGTATTTGTGTCATGTATTCAGTCATATAATGTATTCAGTTTAATGTCTTAATATTAATGTATAGTAGTCACTCTGTATTCTCAGGTGAATCCTATATTTGTTTTAGTCCTGAAAATATAATTTTAGGTTTGTATTAGCTATACAGTATACATATCTACCATGAACATTTGAAATGAGAACGCAGAGCAGTATGCAAACCAGTTATCTGTCCTGAAAAAGTCTTTAAATACTTTTTCAGGACAGATAACTGGTTTGCATGCTGCTCTGCATTCTAATTTCAAATGTGCATTTCTCTCTTAATGTATTATTCATACTGAATGTGATATTGGGTGAACCCAGTTTGTCAAATACAAACATAGGTAATGCTATATGGCTCCCAACCTGGAAAAACCTTCTTGGCAACTTTAGGACTCTGAAACACTGTAAATCTAGACCAGGAGACACCAAATTTAAACCACTGAAAATAATCTGGTCATACTCAAATGTTTCTAGTTAATGAACTCTTGACCACATAATTGTTTTAACAAACATACACCATACACACATTTTGTGCTAAAGTTAATTTGGTTTTATGCCTTTTGGGAAACAATGCAGGCAAAAACTAGTTTGTTTGGCAGACCCCAAAGAAACCGTTTCCATTTAAACCAACACAATCCCCATTGTAACCAATGTTATACAAGTTTCTTTTGTACGCTATTTGAGACCCATTTGTTTTCTTGTTTATAACATAAGTATCAAAAACAGCGGGAATTGAAACAGTGTATTTGTTAAACCCTTAATAGACCCATTGAGAGAATTTGGAGAAAGGAGAGCAATGGCGATTAGACACTTTATTTTCCTCTGCTGTCCTGCCAATTTCACTTCTGCGCTAACTTAAATACCATTTCCATCTGATTGTGTTTTCTCTTTATTTTTTTGAAATAACTTCAATTCAAAGAAAACGCTAAAGAAGCAAATGAAAACGCCCTGTAAGACAAAAATAAACATGCACGCATTCTGTGCGCTTTTGAAGGAAACATACGAGCTCCAATTATGAGAATCAGTTTTCGGCTCTGAAACATGGAAATAGTTATCCATCTTTTTCTTCAACGCGGAAGTAAGCGTATGGGTGAGACTTCCGGAACATTAACCGCTGTAGGTAAATAACGAGGAGAACAACGTGCAGTAAACGGTAAAACTGTTTGCACTACAAACCAGTGTGTTCATAAACAAGATAATACATTAAAATATTATAAGACACACCAATTTTCAATATCAAGCAGCAAAACGAACTGGACTAAATTTGGGCTGGTTTGGGGTCAATTTGGCGGTTTTCAAAGATATAAATTGCATAGGCTAATTGTTTAACAAAACAAGCCCAAGTATGTATACTGCATCCAATCAGTCATCACGTTTGGCTACTACTACTACACACACACACACACACACACACACACACACACACTGCTGAGGCGCTGGCGCTGATGTACACGTCGACAGCCGCACTTATCACACTCAGCAGAC